GCCGGTTGGTCCCTCATCCGACTGAGTCATATGGGCGGTACAGTTGACGAGGGGATCTCCGATTTCAGAGCCAAGGTCCAGGCACGCCATGAGTTGCGGGATCAAGGTGTCATCGAGGTCCGGTCCTTGATACTCAAGAGAGGTCGCGTTGGCGGTAGCCTGGCCGCAGGCCATCTCCTCAGAGAAGAAAGTGGCGGACCACGCGCCGACCAAGTTGAGGCCGAAGAAAGGGGCCAGGCAAAGCAGGATGAGAATTGAGGAGATTGAGAACTGCATGATGGGCGAGAAGAGTCTGATCTTTTAGGTTGTTGAGGTCTTTTGGGCGTGAATGCTGAAAGTTGCGGTAGTCGAGATGAGAACTTGCGCAGGGCAGGGGCAGGAAGACTTGTCAAGTAGAGAGATTCGGGAGCTTTGTTTGGGACGGGTTCTGAAAATTAGCTGTTTAGCGAAAACTCTACACTTTGAATACCCTATTCACTAGAAACGTTATAGGAATCTCTGTTGTGAGTATTCTCTTAGACGTCATAGTTAATTCGTAATAAACAAGCTACGTAGACCTGGTAACAGAAGAGCCTTAACGACAAAGACTCCTTGAATGGATGGCAGTTATTTAACGCGTAGTCATGGGCCTTATTTGGTATTCTTTTCATTATTGATTAACTTTTAGGTTTGCGCAGAACTTCCTATGTTTGTGAGAACACAGATGAAGTCTCTCATTATCTTTTTGTACTATTTAACATCTGAGTAGAAGGGAGATTACTGAAGTTTCTTGTGCATGAGACAATGTGAAAGAGCTGTTTCATTTTGAACTATCCATTCCCTCGAATAACCACTGCGGGGCAGAGCACAAGCGTTATGAGTTATCGCACGTAATCTCGGTCGTATAGTGAAAGACAATTCCAATTTCTGAGATTCACCGACTGGAAATACCAACTTGCTTTAGAGGTGTATTCAAGTCTTTCTTCGCAATCGAGACTTGACTAGTTGTCGACCCTTTGGCCTCCAATGGCAAAGGATTTCTATTCTGCGCGCGTGTAACCTTGTAAAACCTATGACAAGTGTCGATCATGGAAAGGAAGCAGCGTGTTTATCCGGATTCGTTATCTTCAGGCCTCGATAAGGATGTGTATGTGATCAACGTAACCTGACCCAGTTTCGCTACAGCGGTAATAGTCTCTGTGTTTCAGCAAGGTAGCGCCTAGATTTTTTTGATGTTTTTTCTCAAAGGAGTGGTGGACGTGACGCGTAGTTAAGGAGAACTAAACCACCAGGTCTCAAGGTCCGTTGCCAATTTGACACCTGCTAGGATATGTACCGTGCCAACGCAGTGCAAACAGCCCAACGATACTCGGCTTGAGCAACTATCCACGTAAAGGTGATTGATCTGTCCAAGAAGCGGGAGATATGGACACATGCATTATCAGTGAAGTACTTGGGCATGATACTGAAATGTGCCACGTAGACGGCAATCATTACTGGAAGGCCGAGTTTCATATCAGGTTTCTGATCGCACATGGCCATGAGACCCTCCATTGTCAGAGCGACTCCAACAACACCAGTGCAAACTACCCATAGCGTCCAGATGACTGTTGTAGTTGTGTTCGTACTTGTAGCACTGATATTTCGTATGAAACGGAGAAAGTGTAGAGTTTCGAGTGTGCCCAAGAGGCAGATGAGCCATACATCGGTTGGAGTCATCATGTTGAAGAGGCAATGTGTGTTTGATGAGTGTGGATGTTATCAATGTAGGTTGATGGTGAATGCTTCAGACAGAAGCCTCTGAGAATATGGGCAGATGTTATGTGTTTAAGAACAAACAGCCCTAGGATATCCCAAAGCTGGCCAGCGGAATCAAAGAGTATGAGTAATAAACTCCCAGAACCCACGATTCTTCGCCATATCGGCTTCACAGACCTAATATTGGTCTAAGTAAATATTCTTCATGGCTATCTGTGCAATGTCAAAGACATGCATACATAACATCCAACAGTCTAGCAGCGACCAAAGCTTTGAGCGTAGTCTAGAATGAATTGATGCCGCTACTTCTCAGTCCCACTAGAAGCTACATAGCACAAAGCAGAGTAGTGTCTAGCTTGCCTTTGTGAAGTCGAGACGAGATGCATGTTCTTTTATCGGTGCTTCAAGGGTTTCCGAACAGTCATTTGATGAAGAGCGGGGCCGCCCGGGACGCCGGCACCGGAACAAGTAGGCGTTTTAGGTAACAGAATGTTAAGAGCAGACTATCTATAATGCAGCTTGTTAACATTCTATAAATTCAAACAAGTATCTTCAATAAAGGATCCGTGATAAAGCAAAGACAAGAGCTGATATTTTACCATATTATCGCCTTGTTTCCGTTCACCATGGCTGATACATCGTCTACTCCACCTTCGTTGCAACTTGGCTGGATAGGCCTGGGGAGCATGGGCAATGCAATGGCAAAGAACGTTCACCAATACTTACAATCCCAATCCAGAAAACCCCTCAGCTTTTATAATCGTACTGCCTCTCGTGGCGATGACTTACAGAAGCTCGGCGGCGAGCGTTGTGCTTCTGTGGCAGAACTGGCAGCCCGTAGCGATGTCATATTTATCTCAGCGAGCGATGACGCAGCAGTGCAATCAATCATCGGACAGATCGTTTCGTTGGGGTCTGAGCTAGCTGGCAAGACTATTATCGATACTACAACGATTCACCCTAATACAACAAAGGAAATTTCACAGAAGCTGCAAGCATGTGGCGCACGCTTTGCGGCAATGCCCGTCTTTGGCGCAACACCTGTGGCAGAACAAGGCAAGTTGCTTGCTTGCTTTGCAGGGTCGGCAGACGTGTATGCGATGATTGAACCGTTTGTGAACGGTGTCATTGCTAGAGAAGTCCTTCGAGTGGGGGAAGAGCCTGAGAAGGCGACGTTGTTAAAGACGGCAGGGTATGTTGTTCCAATCGACATGGCAACCCATTCATTGATACTGTATTGACGTAACTATAGAAATTTCATAACGGCAGGTCTCATGGAGATCATCGCAGAAGCTCATGTCTTCGCCGAGAAGACCGGTCTGGGTTCCGACGTATTGGAGAAACTTCTGGGGCTCAACTTCGGTACCGTCGCGCACTCGATCTCGACCCGGATGACGACCGGCGTCTATATTCCAGCCAATGGTGAGACGCCGTGGTCGGATCTAAACCTTGCGCTAAAAGATGTCGGCCACGGCGTGGACAGTGCTAAACAGGCCGGCGTAAGTTTGAAAGTCGGTAATACTGCGCTCGAGCACTTGGAGAGGGCGAAGATGTATTCGGAGGAGAACGGGAAGCGTCCGCTGGACTCCTCTTCTCTATATGGCATTGTGCGACAGGATTCTGGACTCGATTTTCGGACAGAGTCTGTTCAGAAGAGAGACCAATAAGTTATTTGAATCTTTTATCGAGGGCTACCACCATCATACCAGCCGGATCGAAGCCAGTACTAAAAAAGATCTCACATATTGTCAACAACGCTGTTCATAACATGATAATTAGTAATTAAAGAGATCTAAGCATATAGACTCTATCGATATATTTTTCGATTTCTTCAGCCGCGCCAATGTACAATATTGTTGCTTGGATAGGGACTGTTTTTATATGAAATTTTTGTTAGCACTGGCTTCGGAGCCGTCTCCGGCTCCGATCACCTCGACTTCTCGTTGGCACTGGCTAGCTAGCTAACTTAGGTAGATAAATGAAGCATTTCGGGCAAAGTGACGTCACGCCGGAACGTTGCCCGGTTCCGCACACGGATGTTGGTGGTCAGTATTACTTATATCTATTAAGAGCGCTCTTCTTTTCTCCAGCATCAGATTGATTCTCTTCCCATCGTCAAAAGTGTCATTCTAGTGTGAATTGAGGTCTGATCACCACTACTACATCATGGATATGCGACAGTATAACCAGGCCATGATTGCCTCCTATTCTCGCCGAACGGCAGCAGAGAACTCGGCGTACATGCTGCCTCTACTAAAAGCCGATATGCGCATCCTAGATGTGGGCTGCGGACCAGGCACCATCACGCTTGATCTCGCAGCCCACGTACCAGAGGGGAGCGTGACAGGAGTTGACTCCAGCAGCACCGCCGTCGAGTCCGCAACCGAGCTATCTAAGCAGCGCGGGGTGTCTAATGCATCGTTCTTGGTAGGGGATGTGTTGAAGCTACCTTTTGATGACAATTCATTCGACGTCGTTCACGCACATCAAGTCCTCGGTCACTTGCCAGGCGCTGACGGCGAGCTTGGTCCCGTCCGGGGTCTGAAGGAGATGCGGCGTGTGTGCAAGCCCGGAGGCTTCGTTTGCGCGCGAGAAGTGGACTGGTCGACTGTCGTAGTGCACCCGCGCACGGAAGAAATAAACGAGTGCCTCGCATTAATGCAGCGACTCGCTAGCAATGCCGGAAAGACCATGGAGGGTGGCCGAGGCAGGGAGTTCGCGCGAAAAGCGGGTTTCGACCCCGAGGGGATCTCGGCCTCTGCCGCTGCCGCCACGTACACGAACCCACCTGACCGGGAGTGGTGGGGGGAGAACATGGCATCGCGGTTGGAGTCATCATCCGAGTTGAAGAAGGGAGTAGAACAGGGGTACGTCGTTGAAGGGGTGGCGGCACGCATACCGAACGCTTGGAGGGAGTGGGCTAAGGGCGACGATGCCTTCTACTGCGTTGTTGATGGTCAGGTAGTATGCGTAAAGTGAGTTGGCCATCACCTTCTCGGGATGGGTGGGTTGGGGACAAGCAGAAAAGTGGAAGTGGGAGTAGGAGTCATTGCAACAACATGGTATTTGCCCTTCAGTCTCGGATACCGGTACGGACTAAGAAACCTCTTGTGTAAATTATGTGGCCATTAATTCCATGTTGAATTGCACTTGAATTGCGATGCACCTGCTCATGTACTCGGGTTATAAGGGTGTGGGCAATGACCTGGGTACCTAGGGTTGAAGAGACGGGGGCAAAAGAATAAGGAAGAGAGAAAAAAGAACACCGTACCTCGGACTCGAACCGAGAATCTTTGGCTTAGGAGGCCAATGAGTTAACCATTTCTCTAGTACGGCTGTTGGGAAAGAGAGTTACTGTTTCCATACTTGAACGCAGGGACAGAGAGGTAGGAGGGCAGGAAGGCAGGAAGGCGAGGACTCCGGAGGACAAGTCGTGATTGGCTAGCGGGCAGTCCATGCCTTGCCTGCCTACGTACGTACCTTACTTCTCTACCTGCCTATGACAAACGCATTCACTGGGCCCTCTACTGTCTTATCGGATGCCTGCTTGCCGGTGTGGCGGTACGTGCATACTTTTCGAATATAAAAACTGACAGGGAATCTGCACTCACCCGAAACCTACATATCTACATGTAGGTAGGATATTACGCGGACTGGCAAAACAGCTTGCTCCGACAACCTACATATATTTTATTGAATCGTGTGTACATACCCGTCAAGGTCAGTGACTCAACTTCGTCGCTTGATAAATGACAAATCACCAGTTATCCGCTGTATTGATATATTTCTCTCTGCCGGTTCCCGTAACCAGCCATTGCCACATCAGCATAAAAAACGCCACGCATGCCGGGGACCACGGTGCCTCTCTGACACTAAGCGAGCATACCTGCTGAGAAGCTCAAAGGAGCCGATCTAGCTGGTAGAACAAGACGACGGCCGAGCACCTCCAGACTACCTATAGAGTCTTAAAGAAAGAGAGAAGAGCCGCAATCACGGCCTCGGGCTTCTCTTGTTGCACCCAGTGACCAGCCCCATCCACCATCGTGGCACCTCTGAAGCAGCCTGCCTTGACCGTCTTCGTGTCCTCGTAGCCCTCGATGGCTCCAGGTTGTTGGAAATTTCCCCAGTCTTGTTTGCCGCTGATGTACGCGCACGGTACCTCAATTTTCCTCCCAGCGTACAGTAGCATGTCTCGAGCCGATTGTGGCGTTGTGGCCGTTTGTGCACGATACCAGTTCAGCCCACCCTCAAATCCCGTGCGTTTCCATTCGTCGCAATACACTAGAAGTTCATCATGCGGAAGCCACTGCTCGGTTTTGGCGTAGTCTTCGCCGTCCATGTTGTGTGCCACGGTAGCGGGCATAGAGTGGTCTTTCTGCATGATATAGTACTCCGGCATCACCGCAACCGCCTGTGCACTCCACTCCTTGAGCGGATGCGGATCGTTCTTGGTCCAGTCCGCAGACTTCAGATGAAAATACCCGCGCAGAAACTTTTCTAATCCCTGGGGCGGATTATTCCATTCCGACGCTGCTCCCGGCGTTGAATTGTACCACTTGTAGTGCTTGCGTGGGGGGATCAGCTTAGCTAACTCCGCTTGGACGTCGAGTTTCGGCTTCACTTGCTGGTCTCCAAGTCGCGGCGTCGGGGGTGAGTGATGCGGATGCGACAGCTGAACTGTTGACAGGAAAACGTCTGGCCGCATCAGAGCCGCCATCGCCGAGCTGACGCCTCCGAAATCGTGCCCTATAATACTGAAGGCCTCTGTATATCCCAACCCGTAGACAAGGCATACCAAGTCGCGCACCAAGTTGGTGAAGACGTAATCATTCAAGTCGACCTCCTGGGACGATTGCTGCACCCCTGTCGTACGGCCATATCCCCTCTGGTCCATGGCAACACAATAATACCCAGCATCAGCAATTTTCGGGAGGACTCTCCGCCATGAGTACGCAAGCTCCGGATATCCATGACAGAACAGCACCAGTGGCTTCCCCGGATTTCCAGCCTTCAATATGTGCCAAATCAGGCCGCATGATTCTTGGCAGTCGATGTAGTCCTCCGTGATGCCGGCCGGTAACTTTATCGGCGGAAGCTGCTTTACCGATTGGTCTCCGTTCGTCTCCATTTTTCTGTAATCGTCGAGAGCTGTTATACAAATATTATTGTAGAACGATATTAGTATAATTAGAAGCTGGCCCTCAAACTACCTTCATCCACACTGTAGCTGCACTCCCATAAAGAGTAAAGAAAAAATGTATCAACCCCCAAAATGACTAGTTCGAAAGACAAGAAGTCGAAGAACCGACGGCCCTCGTGAAGCCTCGACTTGTTACCCCGCAGCATACGTCACAGTACATTTGTCATCATATAGCGCTCATATTTTTGGCTTTTATTCCCAATATTGATAGGACTATATCGCTATTCCTCACAAATTTACTCGTACATATTGTTGTTTTGTTTGATTTCAGCGCAATGCCTAAGGTACCGTTGGGAAATTCGTCTTTAACCGGAGATTGAACAATACCATGCTGATTCGATATTGCTTCGATGATTTGAAAATAAATATTTTTTATTACTATCTGAGCTCGGCAGATATACTTACATAATAGATTTGTAAACAAGTTTTTATTTTCGACCTTAACGCGCTTTGTTTAATTATACGACCAGAACAGATATATATTGTTGAAACTTGTCCTTTTTTCCTTGCAATTACGGTCACTAAAAACTTTCCAAATGCCAGCCGAGGTTAAGTCTTTCAGATCTTGAAAATCTATGAACTCGGTAGGCTTAATATCTAGAATGCTAACTTAACACCAAAAGGGCGCTGAGATGGCCATCAGCTCGTCAGTCGACCACGCTGCTGTTAAGGAGCAGATAGGAGCGTTACATGTAGGGTGCTAGGGAGTATAGCTTGTGTATCCTTATGGGGGTAGCTTTGCTGCTTCACAAATGGAAAGACTGTGCCTTCGCTAAGAACGAAGGAAAATGAAACGAAAACGCTATGGTTAAATGAGTGAGGTTATTAGGTAAGCGTGTTCTCATTTGCCCATTTTGCCACTACAGTTTGTTCCTTGAACTGTGTTTGCTTCGTGGCGAAGTGTCTCCATCGTGACTGAGAGTTTCGCTTACAGACCAAAGTATTGCACCTCCAGAACTCACAGCGCAGATGCGATTAGCAGATGACCGCCAAGTTCCCAAACCACAGAACCTTCCGTTGATGATGTGCCAAGTCCCAACGAGAGGATAATGCACCTTCTTTCCAGATGCAAGCAATACCAGATCGTATAGGGATTGTTCAACTCTTCGCTGAACTACGTAGGTTTTTTCTGTGAATAGAGCTCGAGATTGTAGGGTTTCCAAGATGGATTCCCACTCGATCGAAGCAATGTCTTCTCCAAATATGATACCAGCGCCTTTCCCGCTTCGAATAGGCTTAAGAATGTAGTCATTCTTTAGATCTAGAGAATTCTTTGACTTCTGTAGGAGCGAATGTATCTGAGGAGAGCCAGGGATAAATGTGTCCACGATGCCCTCATCTAAGGCCTGCGCTTGATCTGGTGTCAATACCTGCGCTTGGACCAGATATTGCAACTCCTGTTTTACGATACCAAGCATGCGCTTGTCATGAGCCAATAATATTGTCCGGAGATCGTTGAAGCAGCAGAGGCTAACATGTCGCAGCATATCATGGGGTAGGGCAAATAGCTCATGTTGATGAAGTTCCAAGCCGACCTGTTGGATCTCTTCGAGAATCTCTCCTTTATTGTTGATGAACGTGCTTGGGAGGGGAAACATCTCCGTGTCTCCTTTTCTCTGTGCTAGGCAACATAGCCGATATCCGCGGTTTCCCTGGAGAGCAGGCTCGAGCCTGAGGTCCGAAGGACTTATCAATCGCGGCGTGATGCCGAACCTCTTCCGGGAAGCATCGATAAACATATGGATGTCTATCCCTTCTTCTTCCCCGATGAGTAGGTGCAACGGTACGCAAGGATTGAATAGAGACCGCAAACCATCGAAGATCTATATCTAATTAGATCAAGTAGTAGCAAAAGGATCTCGTGTGGCAGCTTTGGACTCACCTGTGCAGGAGTTGCTGTGCTGGTTAGTTTTAAGCCTCCCAAGTCCATGTCATCGAAAACTTCTTGACCGTAGGCCAGATGCAGGGCTCCATTGAATGAAAATCGTCCATTAATTTCCGTTATCAAGAAATTCTCTTCCCCCACCTCCTGGCTACCTGCACGGTCCTCGATTAGGAAGTCTGGTCTCCAAGAACCTGAACATTCGAAGTATTTCTTCAACGTTCCGCAGGAGACCTGGCTTTCGATCCACTAATACGTGTTAATGATACCTCATCTGAGCGAACGAGTCTGACTAACTTTCAAGAGATCCTCTTCTTCGCGTTTCAGCGGCATACGCTCGAACAATCGTGCTTCTTGATCACTCCACCATCTCTCAACAATGTCATTCACAGCGGATGTTAATGCTTGCGACAGTTTAGTTACCCGTTGTTCATGATGCCCAGTTACGAGGATTGGTCGCGGACAAGCCGCGCGATAGGAGCCTTTTGGCCATATGTGAGCAGGGCACTTCATTATGAGGTTAGCCTGAAACCCGTCTTGTTCTCGGGCAAAATCCGCTTCTGTAGTGAGGCTACCATCATCGGGATGATCAATCGCAACCCGAATCTGTTGCAGTCGAGTTGATGCCATGCTCTCCATGTGGGGAAACTGCTGAATCTAATATGGCAATGGAATGATGTGGCAAATTTAAGAGAACTTGAAAGTTTGTATACTCAATATCTTAGCTATATATATATATGCAAGCCAATCGACATTTATGTTCGTCATTTCGCTCTGCACTGACCCATGGTAGTAAACACCGATACCACACCTTTCCATTATCAGGTACCGAAAGTTTTTGTGTAACAAATTAATAAGACACGATCTGTCAAGCGTATATTTAGTATCCTGTGTTACCCCCATATCCGACATCTCCATGTAAGGGACAGGAAAAGTGTGCCTGATGAATATCTGTATCCTCGTAACTCGAAAAGGCTATGAGCAATATACAAATATGATCGTTACAAATATTAAAACATAGTTCGTTAAACAATGTTTAAATTCAAAGCCTTCATTGGAATTTTTGGGATTCCCACACTGCTGAAAAGACTTTGCATCATGCAAGCTTCATGCATAGCGCCACGGCTTACACAACGTACATCAAACATTCAGTAAAAAGCAAATAAGTAGCACGCACTTCTGGACAACAGCCAATATTACTCACTTCTTCATGTATAATTTTAACTTCGCAGACAACTGACTGGCTGAAAGGCA